AGAGAGAGAGAGAGAGAACTTAGAGAGACTGAGAGAGCTGACACGTTTAGAAAGGGAATGGATTCAAAGAAGAGAGTACACTATTACAGAAAATGGAGAGAGAGGATATAGTTAGAGGAAGAGTTAAGAGGGAGGGAACATTTTGAGAGGATAAAGAAAGGGCATGATTAGAGAGAGAGAGAGAGAGAACTCAGAGAGATAAAGGACACTAATAGAGATATGAGTTAAAGAGAAAAAGGAGATGGTTAGAGAGAGAGAGGAGTTAAGAGTGTTAAGAGAGACAAAATGCATGGTTAGAAAGAGAGGATTCACAAAGAGAGAGAGAGAGACGGTGCATGGTTAGAAAGAGGACTCAACGAGAGAGAGAGAAGGCATGGTTAGAAAGAGATGATTCAGAGAGAGAGAGGGTATGGTTAGAGAAGTATTAGAGAGAAAAGGGCATGATTAGATAGAGAGGTGTTCGAGAGAAAAGGGCATGGTTAGAGAAAGTGTCAGGAAAGGGTATGGTTAGATAGAGAGGTGTTAGAGACAAAAGGGCATGGTTAGAGAAAGTGTCAGGAAAGAACTGGCATGGTTAAAGAGGGAGGAGTTAGAGAGAGAAAAGAAAAAATTAGAGAGAGGAGCTAGAGAGAGCGAGGGCATAGTTAGAGAGACGAGAATTCGAGAGAGAAAGGACACATGAAGCTACAAAAAAGGCGAGAGGCGAACTTCCAAAAAAAATGAGACAAGTGAACTTTCATGGGGTTGGAAGTTGCAGGTTATCATTTTTCCTTTCGAAAATGTTGACTGTGAAGTTGCAGGTTCTCATTTTTTTGAACCTAGAACTTTCTAAATCCAATTTCCTATGGCACTTCCTGTTAATAAACAAGAAGTGCTACGAGAACTGGAACTTTTAATTTCTAGATCTGATATTTCATGTCATCAAACATGCCCTTGGACAATAATGCCTTTGCCCTCGTGTTAAAAATAGCTTTGAGGGGCATTGTCCATCATTCACCCCATGCACATGCTACCAACATAAGTATGAACAGTCACATTGGGGCAAATGAAATGTTAGGTGATCCAGCCATACATAATTCTTTGTTATTGCCCTAAGAAATAACAAAAGAGCACCTTTGCAAGAATGATTCTAGGGGCGTCATTTTGACGAATATTTGCAAAGCCAAACATCAAAATTTGCATAACAGAACCTACATGTGTGTATGCACAGACATAATTTTCATTCTCATGTGTGCACGTGTATATGCATGCAATCATGTATCTCATAGACCAGGGTACCAACAATGTAGTTACCTGTTCAGGACTATAGAATATCTCGATGAAAGGATAATCTTGCCTTTGTCGTGAAATGCAAAATCCTGGGTACTTGGGACATTCAACCTAAGAAGATATCAGAGGGTACCATCAGCTATGCTTATGACAAACAAAATTTTCGAATGAAGCATGCAAATATGTCCACTATGTATATGTATAATTTATGCCAGGTAACATAACATATGCAGAAAGGATCCATCTTACTAAGATGCTCAGATACATTATGAAGGAAATATTCCAACGATATGATATGTTACAAAACACACAGAGACATACATGCATGCATACATACATGTAGTATGTACTTGCATATGCATATAAAGTAGGCACTAATAGTTCATATTCAGTGTGTACATACTTACGTATTAAAAAATCTAAGAAAATTCTGATAATCTTTGCAATGATTTATATTTCAATTATGCCAGAGAAAAGCACAAGTCCCACAGACTTTAAATGGGGTTAGCAAAGGAAGAGGACCATGAGGTTCCCATGCACGTGAATAATTATCATATTTCTTATTTAGCATACCTAGATAAACCCCACCTAAAAAACACAATAAGATCAGAACTAGTAAAAGTTCCAACAACATTTGTATTGTGTTAAAAAAGGAAGCAGACCTTGAGGATTTGCATTTGCAACATCCATTGGATAATACAGTTTATGGAAACTAATCTCTAAGTTCAAGAAAAAATGCCTACAGAAAACAATCACCAATAATTTATAGCTCCCTTGTGCTTCTAAATTGTAAATGTTTTAGAAAATATAGATTATATTTTAGTTATGAAGGGATTATGGCACTTCCTACTAGGTCCTATGAACTACTAGAGATTATTACGTCAGTTATAGATTATGGGAGCCGGTATTGTACTTTCGTACTTGTGCACAGATTAGTCTTAAAACATGTTATTGAAGCATCAGTGCATATATAAATCTACTCTCCTATACTTCTAATCCATCTGTATCATAAGAGTGCAGGTTATAGGAATAAGGATTATAAATGATGCTATAGAACTATGAAGTATATGTCCATATCAGTGTCATATACCTCACCCATTCCCTATATCTTATATAGTCAGTCATTGATACATTGGCCAAAAATGAGTATTCAGGTAGCATTACAATCCAATCACTTTAACATAAGAAAATGACACAGGATCAGGCATTCCACTTAAATTGAATGAAATCAGTAAAAATCCAGAAAATAACTATAAAATGAAGAAATTGTAACCACAACCACAATCCTCCATGCAACCCAAACTTAAAGACCAAATTTTTCTCCAAATTAAATGTGACCCAAACAGATCAAATGAATAATCTCAGGAATAATTAAAAATGCCACCCCTGGCATGGACTGCAGGGTCAATCCTCTGGCTAGGCATACATCCTTAAGAAAGGGATTGGGGAAAGTACAAGATTATGGAATTAAATAAAGTAATGTACGTATGATGCAAAAATGATGATTTAGGCACATCCAGAACCATCTTACGCGCATAAACTTTATATTAGGATAAAATTCGGCAGCAGCCTCCTCCAATACTTTATCGAGATGTTTTGAATAATTGCACCTGCACGATATTTGAAAAAATGAAATTTTATTTAAACAAATGAAATTATGGTTCTCAAAGGGAAATGTCCAAACAGAAATGCTTTCAAAGGAAATGTAATCCTGATCCTTTAAGAAATAACAATATATAGGAAATTCAAACCCCATGTGGATAAAAGTTGATCCGGCTGTAAATGTAAAGGTAAATATCAAAACAGGTAAGCGGTATTTCTTTAAAACAAATTAAAAGATTAGCTTCCTAAAAAAAGGAAGTATGCCATTCAAAAATGATGATAAAACAGGATGCTCAAGTCACAGATAGAATACTTCACTTGATTGTAAATGCAACAACCACAGGATAACCTTCATGCATAAGTTGGACAAATTGGCGCTCAGAAGTAAAATGCAAAACCCTTGACGGCCCAAGATCCTTAGGATAACCTGTGTAATACCTGGTCATAAACCAAAAAACAAAAAAAAATCAAAGGAGTTAATCAACATCCTACAATTGGCAACCACTGCCAACAAACTCAATTTGTATATCGATTACACGTCTTACATGAAATGCTCATCTAGTATAAATCCCATAAATAACCCACCATGAAAGAGTTAAATGACAATTTGGTATTAATTAGAGGATGATCAATACACTTATCCTTAGAGAGATAACTACTGTGGCTTATATTATTAGCAGGTGTGGTGTCTTTGAGAGGTGACTGTACTACGAAGTTACAATCAATGTGAAACCAACAAAAGATGACCCAGCACCAATGTAAAAATAAAAGAGAAACCCCCATAACCACCAATCCAGTTATTCATGAGCACAAGATGCCAACTGAGACAGACGAACATTCTAGACATGTCAAAGTTCCAAAACACCCCTCAATATGCCAAAATGATATTTTAAGAGAGTTTTAATACCAAGCTCTAGTCTTTATACTGACCCAAAACACTATAGTCCATATGTTGCCAGGGATGAAGTGTCAGAGTTTCTGTATCATGCTCATGAGGAATGGTCAGGTACCTCAACCTAATCTACTAAAGACCCTACTCTAACAACGTCCAATCAATGGATGGACAATTTTGGGAGAAATTAGAACCTACCACTTAAGTCATGTTATCTTTTGGAGGGTCCAGCATTCTCATCAACACCTTCTATCACTGGATTGAAACATTGCTGATATTGGATCTGCCATAGTTCACTACAACCAGGTTCCACCTGATCATTTTTTAATGCTCATGGAGCTTTTGTCATTATAAAGGGCATTATGGTACCTATAGTAGGTTGTAATGAGTTATCCATAGTGTAGCTACCCCATTATTTGATGAGAGCGAGATTGGGGTTCACCTTATAACCTATGGAATGGAGCTCATCATCTTATTCTATAGCTTGGCTTGAATATTTAACTAATATCAAGAAGAAAGGTGCGAGGAAAAAAAAATAGAATGTTTCATTCCATGATCAGCATATCCTCTCCCTCCAACTCTCTCAACAGGTTCCATTTTCACAGGTTTCTCCTAAAGCAGCACCATACACGAAGTAGGTGGTGAAGAATAAAATCTATAGTGACTGCAAACTGAAATCTCCAGCCTAGAAGTTCTTGTTCCCTAAAACTGTGTCATCTGAAAAGGAAGAAGCAACAAAGTACATTGCCGACTTCTGGGTTTAGTGTAACGCTTCATTTTATTAATATAAAGTTAACTTTCTTCAAAAAACAAAAGTACCTGACTTCACAAAGATAGAAAAACAATATGACTTCACGAAGAAAAAAATCACGGGACAACATAAATACGTATTCCAGAATGGAGTGAGAGAACTTCTAAAAGGATGTCCTACAAAAGAGTGAAACCAAACACATACATTTGCATACAAGTGTCCTCTAATGAGCCCATGAAAAGTGACAATCAACATGATCAAGTGGAATTATTTCCAATAGCAAAAAAATGAGCATCTAACAATAACTGACCTGAAAGGAGTAATTAATTACCAAAAGACCTTTCTTTGGAGGTGAAATCTCTTTAAATGGTATCATCTCTATCAACTTTCTATCAAAGAACATCATATCATCCACAAGGTGGGTGCAAATTAAAACACTTAGGGGAATCTACTTTCTTTAAGGCAATGAACGAAAATTCGGCCGCCTAGGCAGCATTTTTTTAAAAACGCCTAATCATGGACTAGGAGGCTTTTGCTAGGCACCCGCCTAGGGGGTGTAAAAGGCAGGCGCCTAGGCGCCGCCTTGACCTACACCACAAAGTAGTATCAATTTGTAATTATTAATTTATTGGCATACCAGAAACTAGTATTAACTCAGTTTTAATTGGAAGGATTAGACTTTTTATGCCACTTGTCATTTTGCATATAACAGTAATTATTAATTCATTGATAAACCAAAAAATAGTATTAATTCGTAATAATTACTTTGTCGAAAATGCTTTTTGCATGTGATAATAATTACTAATTTAGTGATAAACCAAAAAAATAATATTAATTCGTAATTATTATTTTGTCGAAAATTCTTTTTGCATGTGACAGTAATAATAATTTATCGGTAAACCAAAAAATAGTGTTAATTTGTAATTATTAATTTATTGGTAAACCAAAAAATAGTATTAATCCAATGTTAATTAATATATGGAAGGATTAGACTTTTTACACCACTTGTCGTTTTGCAGGTAACAATAATTATTAATTCATTGGTATGCCAAAAAATATTTATTAATACGTAATTAATAATTTATCGAAAATGCTTTTTGCATGTAATAGTAATTATTAATTTATTGCTAAACCAAAAAATAGTATTAATTTCTAATTATTATTATATATTATATATAATAAAACGGGGGGAAGTGTGGGGGATCCAACTTTTAAAAAGAGACAACACAAGCCGCCTTTGGGTCTGGGCGGCGGCCTTGGCATCTAGGCGGCCAAGAGCCAAACTGCTTAGGTCGCCTACGCCTTTTTGAACATTGCTTTAAGAAGTAGATACTACATTGTTTTCATGATACCATAGCATAGGTAGGATGACAATAGGTTCATAGACCCACAAAATCTAACATCAACAAGGTCATCAAAGACATCTTTAACAAATGTTATACAGGGGACTTTCCCAAGCAAGTGATTTAAGATGCAAAATGCATACCAATTAGGATAAGACTCTTACCCAAGGAAGACAACCAATAGCTTGACGGATTGAAAACAGTGCTCTATATTAGAAATGACAAAAGTCCGTTTTCTGTATTTTTTTTTTTGGGGGGGAGGGTGGGGTGGGGGGATGAGACTCTCAGAAGATTGTGAAAATTTTAGTGTTTAAAGCAAAAGAGGTCACCAAGTTTGCTGTGTGAGATTTAAGGCAATTGTTCGATAGAGCTGGCACTATTTTTGTGAACGCGGAAGAATTGGGAATTATCATGAATAGACGCTAAAAAAAATCAAATGTTTTAATGACCAATTGAATGCCCAATCATTAACCATTAAGTTTTTTTTTTTAAAGGAGTTAACTGTATTGCTATAAAATTGTACATGGAGTGTTTAAACCGAGAGTCCCTCCATGACGGGACTCTCTGTAAAAAATAGGTCAATTGATCCTATACAAAATGGGGTTATAGATCTACCTGAAATTATTCAAGATTTACAATGAGATTACAAAAAATGGGCTTATAGTATTGCCCCTTTGCACTGAGACACTGTGATCCAAAGCAAGAAAAAGTAGCTGGCCGAGCCTTACTACTCCCTAGTCCCTTTGTGGTTCGGATAAAAAACGAGGCGAGACCCGGTTTGGTCTTCAACGTGAGCCCTGGCCCCGTCCTTTGCAAGGAGATCGGCTAACTCGTTTGACGTCCTCAAGGTATGCATCCATAAGACGTCCATATCCCTGCAAATTTCAGCGATCTCGTCAAAAATGGAAGCAAGATACCATGGAGGAGAGGATCTCTCTGTTGCCCATGATTTTATGTTTCTAGCGTCTCCCTCCACTATTAGGTTTTGCCCCCAAGATTGGTTGAAGCTTTTGATGCCCATAAGAAGGGCGATCGCTCCAGCATGCTAAGAGTCTTGAATGCCAAGATATTCAGAGTAGGCAAACAATATTGCACTATGCTGATCTCTGAAAACTCCTCCCGCTCCGGCATGACCGAGGTTTCCCAGGGAGCAACTATCAAAGTTAAGTTTAATGACTCATCGTGGGGGAGGTTGCTATCATTAACCATCAAGTTAAACAGTTTCTTTAACAAACATAACTCTTTAACCAACATAGCTTGATCTTAGCAAGCCAAGCAACATGGGTTTCTTTCACTTGTCTATGAAATTCCATTAACCGTAAAATGAAAGAGTTTCATTGATTAAAATACTGAGATATCTTACAAGCAAATAACATCTGATCACCATGACCTTAGTTCTTGGCTTTGGAGTCCTTTAAAGCCCAAATTGCAAGATTAAGGAGTTAATATGTTCACTACAGACTTGACCGACGGTAAATGTGCCAGAGTAGTGTAATCGCAGTGAGAATTTACCCTCACCGTATAAGCGCGGTGAGAACTCCTCGGAATCGAGGCTGAATCAACCACGGAAGCTTGCTTGCCCACTAACACATGACAAAGTCGTGTTAAACAAAGCAAGAAAAACAGTTTAACTATTGGGCAAACTGCGGATGAATCGAGAGAGCTTAGTTTCTGCGGCCAAAACTGATTGGGAGACTTTGGCTTCGAATCTCTTCTTGTAGTCGATCCCGATCCCTGGAAGGAACACTCTATGATTTTCTCGGGCACTGCGAAGCTTCAGTTCACTGTTGGCGCTACGAGTTTGGTGCTAAATCAAAATTATTTCTTCTAAGCCTTGGCAAACGGACAACTCAAAAAATGATTGGCATGAAGTCTCAACTTAGTGAAATAACTTGAAGCCAACTTCACTCATTTTAACTAGACCGAGAGTCATAAGATACTCCTGCAGTCTTTTGAAGCATTAAACGCTCTCGACATAAAGATTTTGTGATGCAATCAAGTCCGGATGGGTGTACCCCATGGTGAAATGAGCCCAATCAAAGACTCATGAAAGACTTCTTTGACTTGCACACTCTTAAGAAAATTCTAGGGAATACTATGGCCCACAATGATTTGCCTTTGGCTGAAAATGTCAGGAATGATAAGGATCATATAGAAACAAATAAATGATAGAGAAATCAGGGAGATATCCCTGATTTTCAGGAAATTATGTGGAATTTGTGTAACCAGCTTATCCACTCTTTGATTTTCAACACTCCAAAGTTTCAATCTGAACTTGGGTATTTGTAGATGTTAAATACCATTGTTCATCCATTGTAGCTACAATGAAGAAGGTGGGAGTCAGTGAAAAGAACTAACACATGTCAACATGCTTAGTAACGACAATGAAAATTCCAGTTGCTCTTTTTTACTGCAGCAAGAACAGGCCAGGGGCAGTTTGGTAAATCTAAGAGCTGCCAGTGAGTTTGGATGGAAATTTTTGAATTTGAACAGTTTGCAAACAGCCCAATCTCACTGATAAACAAAGAGATAAATCCCTTTAGTTCCTGCGTTGATCAAACGCAAGAAAATCTCAGTTCCCCACGGTTAAAAAAAAAACTCCCTAAACTCTGTTTAAGTTGAGTTTGAAACACCACTTAATCCAATTTAAATCCAACAATCTCCCACTTGTTCCAAAGCAACTCAACAATGAGTAGGCAAATCAGGAAAGACAATGCATCAGCATAAATTTCCTAGAGACTTGAATTTTCAACAAGTGTTATGCCAAACACCATTCTCGATAGTGAAGACGAACCTTGAATTATGTCCCTTATTGTATCGATCTCCAATATAAGAACATCCTCTTTTTTGCATTGTTTTCCTTTATAAGCCTACACATTTGAATCGTGCACACCTTATCCTGGCTTTCATGAGCACTCTCAGGAAGGCTCACTTCAATGGGAAGTTGCAAAACTTCCATAACTGCTATAAGTGAATCCATAGGAGGTATCCCTGCAGCTTAAGATCCCCATCTAGGCTTACTATATGTAGGTATCCTCCTACCAAGTCGTAGCTCTCAAGCACCATGTAGCCAAGGATGGGGCAAAAAATTTTAATTCCGTCCAGTTTATATAGATAAAATGGTGCTTCCAACTATCACACAGTGACTTGTTACTACCCTTTAAACTTGGGACTTGGAATCTCCTTCTTGACCAGGTACGATTTCCATCACTTTACATTCAAGTGGGCCCCAATCCCCTCCCTTTAGTTTATTCCGGACTTGGTCACTTGTAAAGCCTTTAGTTAGTGGATCCACCAGGTTCTGGTTAGACTTGATATGGTCTACATTAATTACTTCATCCTCAAGTAATGCTCTCGACTGACAGTGCCTCAAATGCATATGCAATGAATTACCATTGTAAATCATACTTACCACTTTGTACAAAATAATTTCACAATCATAGTAGATTGAAAATGTGGGTCTAGGCTTTGGATAGAGGGTGTGCCTACCAAGAAGTTTCTAAATCATTATATATCTCTACTAGTAACCTCAAAGCAGATCAACTATGATTCCATAGCAAATCTAGAGAACAATTTTGCATCTTAGAGCCATATGCTACATCACCCCCACCAAAGGTGAAGATCCATCTGATAATAGACTTGGATTCATCTCAATCCAAAATCCCATATGCAACATTGTATCCTTCTAGAATGGAGGGTTCACCAACATAATGTAGGCCATAGTCCATGGGTCCTCATATTAGAGGACCGTATGGACTGCATCCAATGATCCCAACCTAGATTACTGGTAAAGGTACTCAGTTTCCCAATTGCATAAGCAACATTAGGTTAAGTGAAATGCATGACATACATTATGTATCCAATGACCTCGGCATAGTCCAATTGAGACACCGAACTACCTTGCCCTTCCACAATAGAATATGAGGATTATATGGGATTGTAGTTAGAGGTCGAACTTCTTGAGAACTCTCTCTATAAAGTGAGAATGGGTTAAAATATATGCATCTAATTTTCTCATTTGTCTCAAATCCAAGAATCACATCAGCTAACACCATGTCCTTCATACTAAGTTTAAAAGACAATTCTTAGTCTCTTCTATGCATGCAGAATTATTGCCAAGTATAAGCACGTCATCTATATGTAAGCATATAATACGATCTAAAACTTTGGTATAGAGAAAACTATCAGATTCATTGATAGAGAATCCATGAGAAAAAATTTCTCGAATTTCTCATGCCATTATTTAGGTGTTTGTTTAAATCCATGAGAAAGAATTTGTTGAATTTCTCATGCCATTATTTGGGTGTTTGTTTAAATCCATACAAGCACTTTGCCAGCCTGCACAACTTGTACTCTTATTCTTCCAAGATAAACCCTTCTGAGCTGTTTCATGTAAAGCTCATCTAGTTCATCATCCATGAATGTGGCATTAACATCCATCTAGTGAATCTCTAGTTGGTAAATTGAAGCCAAGTCTATTAATATCATGGTCATAGCCATTCTAGCCATGGGTGCAAAGGTATCAAAAAAGTCACACCTGTTTTCGTACTGAAAACTTTAGTAACCAGTATGGCCTTGAATTTCTCATTGCCATCCTCACTTATTTCTCCTAAATCCTTAGCACCACAAGGTAACTCATCAACTTTCCAAGTTCCTTTGACTAAAAAGGAATCCACCTCATCGTTGACTATTTCCGTCTAGAAAGAAGCATCATGGCATAACATTGCTCCTCGAAAGCTTGTAGTTTCTTCCAAAAGAAAATAATAGTCAAGCAGATAAGAAGATCTGTCCATTCTGAAAGTTAAAGCTAGTTGGTCTTCTAGCTCTATTACTTCTCCTGACTTCCTGGTCTTCAAGACTATCATGCTCCTCTTGACCATGTCCTACATGGTGGTTTTCATATTCATTATCCAGTCATCATAAAAGGCATTTTAAAAAACTTTTGCATCCCTAGATTCTAAATGATCAAATTGGATCTTGAGTCCAGAAAATTGTAGGCCTTGTAGTTAGGAATACCCTACAAAAACCCATTTCACAATCTTAGGTCCTAACTTGATCATTTTAAAGCCAGAAGTCTCAAGTAACCCAATCTTAAGAAAAGGTTCCCGACCTTCATATGGTATGACATTAGAATGTGAATATTGTATCCTAATCAAAATAAAGCATGCAAACAGGTAAGCCTCTCCCTATGAATTAACAGGAGATTGAAACTAAAAAGCATGACATTAAACCCACACGCAAGTGCATGGTTAATCTTTCTACAACACCGTTCCATTGTGGTGTATATGGGTAATACCATTCTCTTCGCAAAACCTCGCCAATCCATTTAGAGCATTATTCACTACCTCTCAAAGCACCTTTATTTTCAAATTCAGATTTGTGAATCAGAAGCTTCTCAAAAGCTTCATCTTTTGTTCTCATTACATATACATAAGCATGTCTGAAAAAGCACCTGAGCAGGAGATCTAACTGCAGTGTGGGAAATTTTGAATTCAAAAAGTTTAAAAAATCCCAAACTCACTGATCAATAGAGAGATAGATCCTGTTAATAGCCTACATTGATCAAATACAATAAATTATCGTTCTTCACAGATTGAAATCAATACTACCTAAACTTTGTTTGAGTTGGATAAGTCCAACATTATTGAGAAGTAATAAGCCAGCAAATCAATAGTAAATTCCCAACAAAAAGAGATGACACAACAAAAATGGCAATATCCAATCATCTCCAGATGACTACTTTCAAGAATAAATGGAGACCACATGCCAAAATTGCCTAAAAGCAAAATATTTAAACAACGCATATATTTCTTGCAACTTTATCCATATAGAACCAAATATGCATTGAAGATTCTCCTGGTGACTGATGAACAAACTGCAATCAATAGACAAAGACATAGCTCTAATGACTAAACAGAAAGAAATGTCATTGAATTAAAGGTGTTGAACCTGCTTGTTGCACGAAGATGACTGATCAATTTATTGAATAATGATTGTTCTTCCATTTTATAGACGAATGCCAAAATATTCAACTTTGTTTCTTCACCAACCTGCTGAGACAGGTATCAAATAACAAGAATGGTGGATAAAGCAAACACCAAAATAAATAAAACCCAGAAACAAGAATTAAATAAAATTCTAATTACCCAAAGAATCAGGGCGGGGCGGGGTGGGGGGGGGGGGACGGACTCAATCCCTTAAAGTGGAGTTCACATAAAAGATAAGGAATGAAGAAATAGGGATTCAGTCAGAAGGTCAAAACTGGTTTGGTATATATGATAATCAAAAATTTCAAAGAACAAAAAGAGGGAAATAGAAATAGAGAGAGATTATTGAAAAACAGGTACCTTGAAGAAGTCATTGGGTGTGTTTTTACTACGGAAGATCAACTAGAGAGAGGAGGGGCATCATGGCTTTGCAATTACAAAGAAAATCGAGGTTTTTGACTCAAAGGAAAGGTCACACTGGGTACACTTGCATTTATCACGAGACACAAATACTATAATTATTCACATAAGAAAACAAAGGAAAATTAGGGGAAAAAAATGACAAAACAAGGGTGTCAACCTTGTATCGTAGAAGGCGCATTTGATGAACCCCAAATAAATAAATAAAAAAGGTTCTAGGAAAAATTTTCAATATCATCTCATCAACAAATGCCGGTACATCATCTGGGCTATCAATTTCTAAAATTTTAGAGAGAAAAATATTTCAGATTTTAAGTTTTAAACAGAAAAACTATCTCAAAATCTTTAAAGAGAGAAAATATCTCAAATTTCAAGTTTTAGAAAGAGAGTATCTTAAAATTTTAAAGAGAAATTATATCAAAATTTATAGAAAGAAACAACTTAATAATTTTTAGAGAGAGAAACTAACTCAAAGTTTTTAGAGAGAAAAGCTATCTCAAATTTCGAATTTTTAGAGAGAGAGACTGCTTTCTCAAAATTTTTAGAGAGAGCAAACATCTCAAAAATTATGTTTCGAAGAGAAAAACTGTCTCAAAATTTTTAGTGAGAGTATCTCAAAATTTCAGGTTTGATGTGCTCTCTCTCTCTACCTATTTCTAACTGTGTTGACCAAACATGGGAAAAAGCATGTTGGAGCAATTTTTTCCTTATTAATTGTTTGCATAGGTCACACGTCCAAATGAGCCCCTTTTGTTTGGTAAAATTTATCTTGTATTGCTTTTACCATAATTTTCCAAGCACGTGGGGTGAAATTTCCTTGAATTTTTTGCTTTGCCTTTACCAAAGAAGTCATCTTGACTAGGGGTCCAATAGTAGTTTTTGGCTTTCTTGTTGGGTTCAGTGTCATTAGTAGGAGGCTGAGAATCCATACCTAAAGGGAAACAGGTAGAGGTGTAACCCATGACTACAAATGCGTTGCAAGGAAAAGAAAGGTTTTCCGGGCATTTCACGATAGTAGCAACCATCATTATTAACAAGAATCATGCAAACTAAGTTCAGCATCCCTTTTCAAATACACTTTTCTACATATACTATCAAATAAAACAAGGTGTCTAGCAAATTTGGAATATTTATCGAAATGTCTCAAATTTGACAACAATACTAATTAAAACAATCGAAGGAAAGCATTTGCTTCCAAACATTCACGGTTTCTGCTCATCATATAAACCAATCCATCAATCAATTGATCCTTACGCAACACTAATGATGGGTTCCCAAGAGAACATTGGACTTGAATTAGAAAAGGTTCAATATCTCTAGGCATTTATAATCCCATAATTAAGATAGAAGCGACCCCTAAAATTGTAATCCCATCGAAGGACCAAATCCTACAAATGAACATATATGGCTCCTAGTCGAGAATTACCAGATCACAGCTATACCCTAGAATAGAGATTCTCATGTTTAATCCATTTTTGGATCATCCATTTTTTATTATCATTTTTCTATATATTTTATCTTTCCACAAATATGGAGAGAGAAATTTTCTTTTGGAAACCATTTTTACTGCTGCTTGCTTGCAATTTGGGAATCATCTATTGAGAGAGGTGGAAGAATTGTTGATTAAGTTGATCCACATTGAGGCTTCATATCACCGGTTGTTGCAAAGTTTTCTTGAGTTCTTTTTCTTGATAGTCCAGACAATAGCTAGGTGAGATCAAAACTAGAAACTAGATTTAGTTTACTTAATATGTATTTTTTTATTATTATTCATGGACTAAAAGCTACAATTGAAGATAAAAAGACTCAATGGGAAAAATTATAATATGTGGAAAAGAAGATTAGGTTTGACTTTAGAGCATGAAAATTTAGGTCATATAATTTCAACAGAAGTTCCTACTGAACCCAATGATGACAACACTAGGCAGAAAATTCAGCATATGCTAATTGGGAAAAAGAAAATACGCTAATTGGGAAAAAGAAAATAAGAAGTATAGGAATATAATGTTGAGAAACGTGGATGATAAATTATTATTGAGCTTTGGTGAATTTAAAAATGCCAAAGATATTCATGATGAACTGGAAATACAATTTGGGCTGACCTTAATGAGTAATTTAAGAGTATTGATTCAAGAGTACTATTCTTCCAAGATGAAGGAAAATGATTCACTTGTTGAACATGTTAGGAAAATGATTTTGTTGGGTAGACAACTTATTAGTGCGGATTATGCTTTGACTGATCAACAACAAGTTTTAACTATACTTAATAGTTTGCCTAGTTCTTGGGCATCTGTTGTTACTACATTATCTTTAAACCATAGGGATCTTACACTTCAAAATCTTGCAGTTGAATTGAAATCTAAAGGGGATCATAGATCTTCAAGAAGACTTCGCATTGCCTAAACTCAAAACTCTCAAAATGGAGAATCTTCTAACAAAAGAAAACCTTATCAACCTTGGAACAATAATAAAAGGTAGAACTTTAAAAATAAAAACAATGCAATTCTTCAGTGATGCAACTCTTCTCTGTGTTTCTTCCTCCAAACATTTCACTATATGAATCAATGTACACTAGATTGTCCCTGTAGCATACTTGTTTACGTCAAGGCCTTCTAACATATGAAAAGAAATGGTTCTAACGATACACAATATCGCCTTAGGGATATAGCTAGACAAAGAAAAGAATATCATTGTTATCAAGGTAAATCTCACTACATTTCTCTTCCATACTTTTTTGTTGCAAGATGTATTTGTCTTTCATGTTACATCATATTCTATGATAAAGATCTTAATTGCCCCAATAAGATTGGCAAAAAATACATAGAGACACAATGCTACCATTGGCTTACTACTACAAAGAATAGTTGCAACAACTTTAACAAACATTGATGCTCTCTGAGGAAAACCATATAGCTAGATTCCAAAAACTTTAAAAAGAAGCAAGAATTTTACCATAAACTGAGGACATGGAATTTACTTCCATTGCTTCAAATTTTCGTGCCAATGAACAAATACAAAGTTTGTGGTCTGCCACCGCTTTTAGTTGTTGCTTGTAAAGAATGATTTCAGTTAAAATCTAACACATCCTACAACTAAATGAACCTCTGAATCTATAAGAAATGCATTTAGATTAAAAAATAAATAAATAAATGAGCCTCTGGATTCTTTCAATGAAATGAATAAGACCAAAACTTCAAAAATTAAAGAAATATAAGAAATTCTCACAATACAGCATCATTACATCCGCACTAAAAGCAATGAAAATCACTACTCAATTCCCAAATGATCCCAAAACCCTAGAAATTGTCTACAGAACACTTGATTCCTCAGGGATCACTGGACCTAAAGTTTCCCTTTTCGTTTCTTTTGATTAATCAGACCTAAAGTTCTTCTTTGTGCCACTAATTTGCAGAACAAACAAATAGGCAGAATTTGGATCTTCTCATCAGTCGCCCAATAGGAAAATACACAGAACTACTACTCAAAAATCCCATTGATCGCACTGATATTGCTGAAAATGATCAACAACACTAAAATTTCAAAAGTGAAAGTCTTAAAGGTATAAAATTTATAACCAAGAAGACATGAAATTAACCTGTAAGCTTTCGACCAAAGGCTATGGTGAAGAAAATAGAGCATGGACCTTCAAAAAAATGGCGGACTTGAAATGAGCTTTTGTTCCATAAATTGCAGAAACAATGGGAGTCGCTCTCTCTCTCACAAAAAAGGGACTTCTCTCTGTACCATAGGCTTTCGCATGGGCATTACGGAAGTCAAATTGTGCTTCTATACTCAATAAAAAAATAAAAAATAAAAAAAAACAAAAAATAAAAAATAAAAAAATACCCACATTTTACTGCAGAGCAATTTGTGCTCCTATACTCAATAAAATAGGCCACCAAAAACAACAACAAATTTCCAGGGAAGATCATAGAAAAAAAAATGTTTGCATTGATAATTAAAAAATCAGCACTGGGAAAAACCAGGAAAATCACAAGAATAAAACTCATACCCTTGTTGAAGAAGAGATGAGGTATATTTTATGAGGGTTCGTACGAGGAAAACCCTACCTTGTTTGGTGAAGAATCTTTACGCTATAACAAAGAAATACCAGCAAAAAAATAAAAGTACAAAGCCAAATAAGAAACCTTACAGTACGACAAAGAAATACCAGCATAAAAATAAAAGTACAAAGCCAAATAAAGAACATTACCTTATTGAGAGAGGACACAGGGAGTTGAGAGAGAGTGGCGAGGAGCGCTTTGTGAGAGAGCAGTCAGGGCATTGAGAGAGAGTGGAAAGGGTTTTGTGAGAGAGGCCATTCCCATTTATTTGCTTTTTCAGCCCCTCGCGGTAAACTCAAACTGAATATTGTTTCGATTCAAAAATATATTGTAAGGGTATTGTTAGAACGAATGCTAGCTATATATTTAATGCTTAACGCATGCAAGTCGAACGCAATAACTTACCTGAGGGATGCTTACCACATGCAAGTCAATAACTTACCAGAGAAAGAATGAAATAGAAGTTCCCCAAAGAGCCACTAAATGAAATAAGAATGGTTATGCGTAATGTGCCAAGGTCGATTGCTGGTTCTTCCCCGGTTCCCCGTCTCTGTTCCCAGTTCAGATCGATTCTGTTGGCACATGTTGGGTTGGAATGTATTCCCAATTTAATCAACCATCAGGCAATGAAATTGTGATTACTTCTTCGGCTGCTTCTCTTATCCCTGTGGTTGAAATTTAAGCCCGAGTCAGGGGTTCGGTTGCTTTCCCTGCTGCCTTCAGTCTTTCTCGAGCTTCATCAAGACCTTTCTCCTTTCTCGTCGCCCTCGACTTCTTTAGGGGGCTCAGTCCTTGCAGCCTAAACTATTCCCAACCCTTCCAGTCGACCAAACATGACGGCGAAATGCCCAAAGACTCTCATGCCTTTCTTGGTCGGACGAACCCAAAGCCTCGACCCGAGTACTTCTATCTATCTAAATATATTACTGTCGTAATACATTACTAGCAAATGGTTTGTTAAGTATTTAGATGTAATCTTGAAAATCCATGCCATTGTCTGGCTATGTTTCTAAGAAATATGGAAAATATATTACTAATATTTTACCAGCTGTATAAATTATTATTTTTTTTCTTTTTTTTGTCGTAAAACTCCACTAAAATGTAGAATTAAAAGCATCATCACATTATTTCAAAAAGATTTTCCAATAATAACATCATCACCATTTCAAAAAGATTTTCTAATAATAACTTTATCATTCTAAAGTCATTATCACACAATTTTTTACTTATTAACTTGTATCTTCTAACGTGATAGACTTTGGTTTCAACATGATAAGTCATTAGCATAACATGTTTTTATTTATTTATTTTACAAGCCTTTCAAATGTCTATCTATATATTTTCAAATAAGGAATAAATTTATGATACCAAATTAAAAAATGGGAAGAAGTTTGATTCGTAAACTAAAAGGTTTGGTAATTGAAGTAGAAAATTTTGAGATATTGGAAGAAACTAAAGAGGTATGTTATTTCAATTGATATTTTACTAATCTCTTATGAGGATTATGTTGGGTAAAATTTTTTATTAGAATTGTATTGTATAATTTGTTGGGTGAAATTTTTTATTATAATTGTGTTGTATAATTTCTTATTGATTAGATACGCCAAGGATAATGGATATACTAAGGAGAGACGGAGAATGGAAAAAGTAAAATAAGGAGCTTAAAACAAACAGTCGAAAGATTAGAGGAAGGGGGTTAAAGATAAAAGAGCTTAAAAAAAAGAAAAGTACAGATGAGAAGAAGGGGTTTAAAAAGAGAGGGGGGAGGGAGCAGCTTATGCAAACCAGTTATTAGGGTTCAAGAGACAGGGGACGGGCTTTGAGAGGGAGGGTAGAGAGGCGCACAAAAGATTTCTAAAGATTACTCGTGCACGTGATAGATTTTTCACCTTTCATCGCGAGTAATGTGTTTCATGATTTTTGGAGAAATCTTGGGTAATCTCTTATATTTTCTTACTATAAAGTGTACACAGACAGTGGAAATGTAATATTTCCTAGTAATCGATTGTCATATAATAGATTTTTTGGTACCGAAACGGCCCTTAAAGAACTTACTCCCCACTTTTCTAAGGTTTCAAAACGTGGATAGGTGACTCGAATCGGTCACACCATACTCGTGTCGTATCAGAGAATTGGATCGAAGAGGAATCAATGTCCCAAAAAACCTTAAAAAAATCATTTAAATATCTAAAAATAGTGTTTTTTTCATTTGTAAAAGAATTTAGGATTGGTGCATTATGTATTTTCATTACTTTTATAAAAATAGGTGAATACTGAGACACTGTTTTTCTATCTGGACGTCTTTATAATTAAATTAAATAAGTTAATAAATAAAATATAAGACTTGGCTTTCATTGTAATTAATATAATTATTAACTACAATATTATAATAAATGTGATTCAAAAAACAAAGGTACGACCCTCACAAATAAATAAATCTAATATATAATAATTAGTGTGGATAGAAATATAGAGTTTAGAATAGAAATTTGCAATCATATTTTAATAAAATTAGAAATAAATAAATAAATTCATGCTTTCAATGTAGGGTAATTGATAAAGCAACATAAAAATAAATTCCTAAGTAGTATAAGTTAATGTTCTTTTTCTATCTTAAAATATCACATAAACTATTTTTTTTTAATATTCAATAAACTAATATTAGTATTATTTTTTATTTTTCTTAATATATTATGAGCTAGTACTAATTTTTTTAATCTTAATTAGCTAAGAGCCTAATATTAATCATATAATGAAATAATCTCATGAGATAATAGCGTAAAAGTATTAGTCTCTTTATTTTGGTTTTTGGGTTAGTAAAGTTAAATTTTTTGGTGAAAGATAAAGATGTGACTTTCTGGGAATTTTTTAATTACAAAAATGATACAGACGTGCCCTTTCCAACGTTCTGTTTACGTGATGTCATCATGGCCATTTAAAGAACGAGCTATGACATCACATGACATCATCATGACGATTTAATGGACGATCTATGATGTCACCTGACATCAGCATGGCAATGTCGAATCCCGTTTTTTACTTAGATCTAGGATGGCCTAGGCGATACCCAATACTACTTTTCACATAATTCATGCGCGACCGTATGATTCATATGAAAACTTTTTTATAATGCAAAGTTTTCATACGAACTAAGCGAGCTCAAAATTATATCTTTTGACAGGGTTTAAGGAATCGGTTTCTATGCCCCCAAGCCTGCATATGTTGAAATGCAGACCTCTTAATAAATCTATTTTTAAGATGGATTTAAAGACTTAATTTTTAAGGACAGCAGTCTCTAACATGAAGTTTATGAATATGAAAAAATAAATAAATTTGAAAAACTAAAAACAATAATTATAGTAAGAAAACATTTGGACATTTAGTTTTCATTGTTTTTAAATGGAACATCTACTTCCATCCATCTTTAAAATAGATGTTTTACGGTTTTTGAACCGCATGTGTAGAGATACGGTTCAGCCCGCATGAAACAATTTTCCCAGAGTTTAAAAACAATTTTCTCAGAGTTTAAAGGTGCGTCTTACATGGACACAATTTCATAAAACAAGGACAAAAACAATGACGACCGAAATCTATAAGAAAGTACCTTTGTAAAATGGGTGAGGTTTGTATGAGGCGTCGGCCGTAAAGAATTGTGACACACCTCCAAACCATGCTAAAAGATGTAGTTTTGATGATGAAAGATATTGAGATGGTCTAAAATTTAATTTCATCCCGAATTGCCTGGCAATGGACCAGTTGGTCCAGCCGGTCCTACCCGAAAAAACTAGAGCTTAGGGTACAAATGATGACCTAAAGGTTGGGCTAGGTCAGCGGCAAGGCTGGCCTAATTAGGCCCGACTCCACTTATTTTTTTTGTTTTTGTGTTCTTTTGTATTTGGCTTTGATTGGGCTGGACTGGCCTGATAGGACCGAGGTCCGAGGTCCGAGCTTGAGCAAGCGCTCTTTACATTGGTCCGATCTGGGAAGGGCTTGGGCCAACCCGGTAAGGGCTAGGGCTAGGGCTACCGGGCCCGTCGCCACCCTTATGCCCCATGTGATCATAGAAATTACAATAATCTGTCTCTCTTGTTTGGTTTGAAAAGCATACAAGACCTTTCATTGTCGATGATGCACACCAACATAGTGACTTGCAACTATCTGATTATCTTTGATAAATTAAAATTATTTTCATTTTAGGAAAAAGCTAAGGCGTCAGCCTGTAGAGGTAAGGCACACTGAAAAAATTATCAAAAACGGCTATTCTGATATTAAAAAACCCATCTTCCAATGTATCATCTTGCCCTTGAGGTACATGGACATGGGAAAAAAAAATTTCTAAGTCTTAAAAATGATGTATCATGTTATACATTGTCTCGATTTTTCTTTCTTAAGAATTGCAAGAGTTTGTATATGTGCTTGATCAATACCATTTTTTGAGTTTTAAATTTCATAATTAGATGCAAAATAGATTTTTGGTCATTGTTGAAATTTTCAACACTAAAACTAACTTGGATTGTTTAAATTTGATGCTTTATGCAAATTGCACCCTTTATTTAATAATGATAAATTCTATGGCTGACGATAACTTTCCATCATATACTTGTAAAATAAATTTATCACGATCTTTTGATGTATCATGTTACCATAATAAAAATCTTTCCACAATGACATATATAGCATGTTTAGAGGACAATTAATTTTATCTGAAATATATTATTTTATCTGAAATTAATATACTTCAGATAATAGTATTTTGTTA